CTCGCCGGGACGGCATCAGCTCCGGCGTCGCGCGGCGGCCCACGGCGGCGACGGGAATAGGGCCGACGAGGGCAGAACGGGGGAAGGGAAGGGGAGGCGCTGGGTTGGCCGAGCGGGGAGGGGCGGTGCTGGGTGGCCGGCCGGGCGGTGGGGTGGCGATCGGTGGTCAAGCGCGAGCGACGGTGGCCGGCGGCTCACGGCGGCGAGCGGCGCCGACACGGCCAGATCTCGCCCAAGCCGGAGGGAGAGAGAGAAGAGAAAGGAGTGACGGGGACGGTCGGCTCGGGACGATCGATGGCACGGACAGCGGCCCGGGTCGACGGGAACACCGCCGGACGGGGGTGGTGGCGCGCGGCGAACAGCTGCCTTGATGGAAGACACGCGCGGAAGGGGTCGGGAAACGAGATGCGGAACAGAGGGCGGACCGGCCCGGTCGGGGGCGGATCGGCGGACGACGGCGCGGCGGTCGAGCTAGTTGTCGACGGCGGCGACGCAGCGGCGAGGCGAGCTCGGGCGATCGGCGTCGGGCGAGCGGACACACGAGCGGAACCCGGTCGGGGCCGGGGGAGGAAGAAAGGAAGAAGAAGAAGAAGAAGAAAGGAGGAAGAAGGAGAGAGAAAAGAGGAGAGAGAAGAAAAAGGACGTGCGGGCAGAGGGGAGAGAACGTGCGCGTAGGGGAGGGGCGCGGCAGAGGGAGGAGAGAGAGAGAGAGAGAGAAAATAGAATAAGAAATAATTTGAACATTCAAATATTATTTGCAAACCGATGGTCCAAATTCAAAACCGAAAATGATCTACCGGTCCAAAATAAGCCTCGCATATAAAAAGGGACAAAGGCCAAATTAATTAGACCAAATTATAACGAGGGAGGTCTACTAGTCCAAATTCGCACGTGGTCAAAAACTCCCATTTTTCCATCATTCCTGAAAATCTCAGCGTTGGCTACCATAATATTGACACCGTCCAATTTATTTCGTCCCGAAACTCCCGAAAATCGACTGCCAAGTTCAGGGTCTAAATAACGGCCAAATTTGATCGAGTGCGATTCTAGCGAAATCTCTAATTTAAAATGATAACCGGGAGTGATCAGTTCCCGGGCGAGATTTTTACTATAAGCACACTGACAAATTACGCGTTTTATAAATCCCAAAAATGGCCGAAATTCGGGATGTCACAAGACCTTTTTTGACCGATATCAAACCTTTCCATTTTCGTGAAGTGATTCCAAATGTCGGATGTAAATTCCCGTTCCGCTTCCTTTATTGTAGATATTTCAGCAGGAGGATGAAAACTTTCTTGCGTCGGGACGCGCTCCACATCGTGAAAAATGTTGATTTCATCATCTTGAAAATCTGCATATTCACGAGGATCAAAAGAATGATGGGATTCCGTCGCGATATTCTTACCTTTGCCGGTTGGCACTCGATTTCTACTTGCCATTTTTCGAATGGATTGAGAGAATTGAGCGGATTAATTGGGAGAATTAAGAAAGAATTGCGTGGATTGAGAAAATTGAGAGAATTTCAGAGAATTTGAGAGAATTTCGAGTATTGAAAAAATTTGAGACTTGAGAGGAGAATTGGAGAGAATTTGAGAGAATTGTGTGTGTATTGTGAGAATTTGAGAGAATTTATAGAAAAAAAATAGAAGAAAATTTAGAATTAAAAAAAATAAAACATAACCGTTGCAAAATTGCAACGGTTATGTGTTTTTTTTTTTTTAATTATAAAAACGCCCGTTGGGGCGTAGCCGTTGCCCCAACGGGCCGCAGCCGCAAGGTGCTGCGCCTGCGGCGCGCAGCAGGGCCTGCACGTCTGCAGGCCCTGCTGCGGATAAATAAATTTTTTTTTTTTGGTTGGGCCGTTGGCCCGCCCCGTTCTCCCCGCACGCAGCTGTTGCAGCATGGCTGCGCAGGCCCCGACCGCAGTGTCTTGTAGCCTGCAGCTTTTTTTTTTTTTTTTTTTTTTTTCGCGAGCAGGCCCGAACCGGCGGTTCCGGCCGTTCAACTCGGAACCGGAACCGGGACCGTATGCCACGGGCCGGTTCCGGTTCCGAACCGCGGGCCCGATCAACGGGCCGGGCCCGGGTTTGACCGGGCCGGTTCCGGTCCGGTTCCGGGCCAAAACCGGCCCGTGGCCACCTCTAGGTGGGACCCATCCTCCGCATCCCAAGTGGTCTTAGATTTTTGCTTTCTATACGCGGGGCCTACAAATTAAACATCCATCGTCAAGTTAGAGAAGACTTTCCGATGGAGTCATGGCGAGCGAGTGCATTGAACCTGCAGAATGGACAAGACTTATGATGGGACGACAAACATTATTTTCACTATAATTCCCTGCCGATCTCACTAGCCAACGCTATCATCCGTCCAACCATGGAGTCTTGCTTCGCCGTCTCCATCTCTCTTGTTCTTCTTCCTCCATTTTCTCAGCGTTTATGCTTGAAGTCCTGAATCGGCACCTACGAATCTATGGCATGACTGTTGGCTATCTGGTTCAAGGTTTTAACTCGTCGACATATATTACTTCCCTCTTCTTCTTCTTCTTCTTCTTTCACCTTATCCCCTACAAAGTGAAAATCTCCGACCGTGCATCCACTAAAACCACTTAGAGCACCAAGAAACACCAGAAAATAATATCGTTCACTCATCATCCACTCTTTATTACCTCATTTTGCTGACTGTTCTGATCCGAACCTACCCATCCCATGCACAACACTGCTACAACACCGTCGGAAACTTCACGTCGAACAGCACCTACGCAAAGAACCGCGACGCCCTCCTGAGGTCTCTTCCCTCCGACGTGGCTGCACATGAGGGGTTCTATGCCACGAGTGAGAGCACGCCATCACTTACTGCCGAGGCGACACGTCAGCAGATTCCTGTGCGATCAGCGTGACGTCCAGTTTATTTATTTCCCCAAAGATTTAAACATGTTCTCTCCGGCGATATTTTCGGGCATCCTGATGAATTAACGTGCTAAGCCAAATTTTCACCGTGACGGGCTTAGTCCAATTAATTCAGTTCAAGGCTATTCACTCAAGTCCGTTCACTGGTATGATAATAATGCAAACGGGATAAATACATTGGAAGTTTTAAAGTTTATCACAAAAGTGTAATTTAATCCTATATCTTTCAAAAAGTGCTCAAGTCCTAAAACTTATCACGAAATGCAATTGAATTATAAAACTTTCAAAAAGTACTATCAAGTCCCAAAACTTGTCAAATTGATTTAGTAAAGTCCTTCCGTTGATTGCACTTTTTGAAATTTTTATGACTCAATTACATTTTCGTAACAAATTTTAGGATTCGTTTGCAATTTTTAAAAGTTTTAGGACTCGACTGCACTTTTGTGACAAGTTTAAGGACTTGATTCAATTTTTTGCAAAGTTTAGGACTCAATTGCACTTTTGTGACAATTTTTAGAACTTCCAATGCACTTATCCCTTACTGTTAATTAAATACTAATGAAAATACTTTGCATATAATTCATTTATTGTTTGGGGGTTCGGGTCGATCCCTAATTTTACATGTAATGAACAATTATACGGGTCGCTAAAATTTAGGTGTCAACAAAAACATATCACATTGTCGCCAGATCTGGGCGAGGGCCCAAAGCCCTTGCTTGTGACCGGCAACCTTGCTGGCCAGAAATGTAAAATAAAAAAAAAACAAAGAAAAGAAAAAAATAAAAAAAAATAATTAATTAATTAATTAGATTAAATATTAAAATATTATTAAAAGTTGTCCACGTCAGCACAAACTTTGCCACTTAAGACGGCTGATATCCACTTCAGCGATTTTCAGTCAAAATTGATCGGATTGATTCATTCGATAAAATATAGATTTAGGACTTAATTGATATAATTAAAAAATATTAAGATTGAATTGACAAAAGTATAATAGATTTAAGACTTTGTAGATAAGTTTCTTCAAAGAAAACGGGAATGTCTTTCTGAAATGATTGCGCACAATTGTTTTCTCATTTTGTGTTTATCTAGCTTTAATGCTACATTCAAGTCTTCCGTCCCATAAAGTCAAAAAGCACATGTTAGGTGCAAACTTTCCTTAGTGGACTTTCACACGAAAGCCATTGCTTTGAAGCTCGCATTTAGTCAAATTTAGTGGCTAACACCAAATTAAGAATTGATGCACCCCTCCAATAAAGGATGTTGCGTGATGGACAGATTATGGAGGACCACATAATTCTTCTAGACAATTGCTCTTCAAGCGGGACATTATTAACAAGATAAAATCTCATGCCTGAAGAATTTAAAGAAGATGATTTGAGTGGAAAAAAGATAGTACAGCCATATATTTAAATGAGTTTATACCGCTTTTGAATCTGTTTTTCTAAATTTGCTCATGCCTGTAGAAGCAAATTAGCAATGGAAATTTCTACAATATCATGCACTCCTATGAGATGGTTGCAAGAGGAATCGAAACATAATTTAGAACAGAGCTTGCAAAATCGAGAATCACCAAGATTAGACTATTTGCGAAGTAGCCCCGAAAGCAAAATCCCACCTTGATCCTCCATGGTTCGCTCATCGCCCGAAAGTCTATCTACAGTTTTCAAAATCTCTCTCAATTAGTTGGGTTCTCGGCGCACTAAGGTGATCTTTGATTCTCATTCGGGAACTAACTAAATTAAACTGGACTGGACCGTCGCAATTGAGTTAGTGACCAGCCGTCGCAAAAGGGGTATTCTGCTAGAAAACCGATTACTTCCGTTTGTAGCGCGGAGGTTTCAGTCAGGAGCGGGTGGGACCGATCCTCCGCACCAATAGTGGTCTTAGAGTTTTTTTGCTTTCTATTTATCTAATTAATTAGGTAAAACACGAGGGGTCTAGAAACTGCACATCCATCATAAAAGTCGTAGAAGACTTTTCGATGGAGTGAATGGAAGGATGGACAAAACTTATGGGACGACAATTCAAACATCATTGTTCCTATAATTGCGTTGCGATCTAACTTAAGCCAATACAATCATTAATCCAACCATGAAATCTTGCTTCGCCGTCTCCCTCTCTCTTTCCTTCTGCATCATCAGAATTTTCAGTACCGGAGCTGCGCCCCAATATCTGTTTCATGATTGCCCAAACACCACCCTCTTCACTCCCAACTCCACCTACGAGTCCAACCTTGACACCCTCCTCTCTTCCCTTTCCTCCGCCGCCACTGACAACACCGACGGCTTCGCCAGTGCCACTGCCGGCCAAAACCCTCCCGACCGGGCCTACGGGCTCTTCCTCTGCCGTGGTGACCTCGACATCGCCATGTGCAGCGACTGCGTGGCTACTGGAAAACAGGAAATCCTCCAAAGTTGCCCCAACCAGCGAGTCTCCGTGATCTGGTACGCTGAGTGCATGTTGAGGTACTCGAACCAGTCCATCTACTCAGTCATGGAAGAGTCGCCTGCTTATGTGATGTACAATACCGGGAACATCTCCGACCCGGCAGGGTTCGTGCAAGTACTTGGACAGACCATCGAAGATGTTGCCTGGAGGGCGTCGGGAAAGAGATTCGCAGTCGCGGAGGCCAATGTTACCGCGTTTGAGAAGCTGTACACAATGGCGCAGTGCACACCGGACTTGACGCCGTGGAACTGTAACACGTGCCTCCGGTCAGTGATTCCGGCTCTTCCCCAGGGAAAGCAAGGAGGGAGGATATTCACTCCGAGCTGCAACGTGAGGTTCGAGTTGTACCCCTTTTATGACAGCTCCGTCGTGCCGGGCCCACTTCCTTCTCCGGTTACACCGGCTGAACAGGCCCCACCTCCTCCTCCTGAAGGTACCCGGAGCTTTTCTTTTGCCTCTCTTTCACTACTGACAATAATCGGTTCGGGAAATTTATTATAGTTGGAGTTCTCATTCCAAAAGGATATAAAAAACACTTTTACTAACTAAATTGCCCTTTTCACAAAAGAAATAGAACCTTCCCTTTCCTGCTTTCAAGTCGATTGTTTATTCTGTTTGTCCAAGGTTCTTGCTTTTTCGGATGGACAGAGATGGGATGAGTGATTTGGCTTTGAAATGTTGAAATATTATTCCAAGTCGCTTGACAATAGATCTTATATGCTTTTTATATTCATGTATTTTTCTCTACCTAATAACTTAAGCTTTTGAATTAGATTTTCTAATATGAAACAAAAATTAGAAATATAATATATTCTAAGCCGAGTCTACCCTCCCGTGACCTTGTCCTTGTGCACAGAAAAGTTGCCGACGGACTCGTCAGCTGTTAATTAGTCGACTGCGATGTGTCTTGTTAGCCTTCCGATCAGAAGGCAAATTTGCCTTGGTTTTGCTAATGGCACCATAGAATCAGCCTTAATTCTTTGTTCGGAAGATCCTTTTATAAAGGGGAAAAAATCAAATGAAACTGGCTGGGTGATTAGAAGTCTTGCTGAGTTTATAAAGGGTTGGGCTGCATCCAATCTGTATATGACTAAATCCATTAATTTTTTACTAAACAGATAATATCGCCCTTACTGTTTTCAATTGTGGGTTCCTTTCAAATTTAACCTTATGGCTATTTGAAAAACAAAAACTAGCCTCTTCTTCGTCATCATTTCCATTATAGCAACCTACCCCTTCTTCGTCCTTTTTGTGGTGCATTTGTTATTTGTTATTTGATTTGTCTAAAACAATAGCAAGTCTCTATTTACTATATCAAAGAATTAGTGATTTTATTTTTTTCTGTACCTGTATGCAGAGCATGTAAAATTATGTAGTAATATAGAAAAGTACACTAAAAATAGGGACATAAAAATTTATGCACATTTAGACACCTTGTTGTATTTTTTTGTAAACACTTCATGAATGAAATATTTTTTTGTCAATATAAAATGACTTAGGTTGAATTGACATTTTAAATTTTTTTTCTTATTTTAAGCAATGGTTTGATTTAATTAAGTATCATCTTTTAAATATTTGTATTGGGAAATGAAGTTTCCACATAGAAATAGAAAAACTGAAAAAAATAATAATAAAGAAGGCATGTGAATAAACTTGGGATCCACCACTTTAAATTTCGATTCGAGGATTAAGAATAATTTTGTCTCTTTAGTGAAAATGGGGTCAGATTGAGTCATTTAGGGGTGGAAATAATCACACCTTTCTAGAAATTAGCCTCGACTATTGGAAAAACTATTCGCATTTTTTATTATTTTTTGCCATAAGTCACAGTTTCCTAAATTGAATACAGTGTGGGAAGCATATGCCAAATGGCTATGCATGCAATACTAAGGCCATTTATGGAAACTGAAATTATCCTTCCATTATTACATGGCATTGTTTTGATGAGAAGCAAACATGAATCGAAATTCGGGCTTCAATTCACGTTGGGACAAAAAAAAAGGAATGGGTTTCAAACAAATAAATCTAAAAAGCTTTTAGATTAGTCTAGTAATTGTCTCATATACGTAATGGTACGTGCGCAGGAAAAAGCAACAAATCTACAGTGATAACCATCGCCATTGCCGTTCCCATTGGAGGTGCTATGGTACTTCTCTTTCTCGTTTGTTGTTTGCTTCGAAGAAAGGGAAAGAAGATGCATGAAGTTGTCCAAGGAAAGAGCGGTAAATTGACTATTTGCCTTTATTTTTTCGTAAACTATCTCGTCATATAATTAAGCATATTATGAAACTTCTTTATTTTTCCAAGGATCTGATATGTTAATCATACAAATTAAGAGTCCGTTTCATATAAATGTAGCATATATAATGGAAAAGATCAAGGACAAACAATCATAATGCCATCAAGAAGAGGAATACTTTGGAAATGTAACAGCTCATATATGGCCTTCTAGGTAAATTGATGCAGCAATTCTACAAAAAAATTACCAAACACCTATGAAAATCTGTCCCTTTCATAGCCTGCAGTATCAGGACAATTCAAACTCCCAATCACCAATATCATCATTAGGAAAACAAAGCTGAAGGGCACTCTTCCAGACTTGCTTAGAGAAACTGCATCCAAAGAACAAATGGGATCTAATCTGAGTGTTTTTATGACACAAAAAACAGAGAGTTTGGCCATGATTAGAAGATTTTCTGTCACTTCCTTGAAATATAGGCAGCTTATGTTGTATCGACAACCAAAATATGAATCCAAACCTCGGCAAATTAGACGAAAATCAAATCAGATGATACCATTCAACTCTTGTGCCTCTTTCCTCACAATCTCCCAAGCTGAAGCAGAGGTAAGAATGTCAGAAAAAGCAGCAGTGCAAGTATCTTGGTCTTCCAAAGAAGACTCTGGACAAATCACACAACAAACGGCTGCCTGGATTGATACCAAGTCTTCAGACCTCGCATTGGGCCTTTCCCATTCAGAGCACAAATCATATCAGCTGCTTTTGCAGTCACAAAACAGCAGAATCGTAAACTACTCTCCTTGGGTATACATCCAGCAAGATCCCATTAGGATGCCATGTGTCGTGCCAGAGGGATATAGATTCGACATGACCAACCACAGAACGAGGCCTCAAAATGCTCCTAACGTTTAGCAATTCCCTCCAAGCATAGGCAGCATCTGCACCGCAATTAACAGACTTAGCATTACCTTCAGCATGAAGAAGTGATCACGATACAAGATTCATCTAATTACTTTGTTACCGATAGTATTGATGATATTATAATTTTTTTGTTCATGACCAATCAAGAGGCGAAAGATTTCATTGGGGTAAGGAGACAATCATGCCAGCCTAATCCGGTGCTCTTCATTGTGATAATGTTCCCAAGCACTGGCAACCGTATAAACGCCACTAGGAGCCAATGTCGATATAATTTGATAATCAAATTGCGTTTTTTGGTAATGCAGGTGCGAATGAACTTACCACCGTGGAGTCCTTGCAATTTGACTTGGCTACAATACAAGCCGCGACAAATGATTTCTCTCCGGAAAACAAGTTGGGTGAAGGTGGATTTGGTGAAGTTTTCCAGGTACGTATTACATATTAGTTAGAAACAATCAAGAATGTTTTACATGTGAATTGAACATAATGGTGCCGAAAAAGAAAGAAACATGTAGCGCTTCTTTATGTTAGTTTTTAAGAAGTTGTGTTAAGGAATTAAACGATGAATGCAAAACACTTTAGGGTAGCCTTCCTGATGGACAGCAAATCGCGGTGAAGAGGCTATCTCAAAGCTCAAGACAGGGTGATGAAGAATTCAAAAACGAAGTTCTATTGGTTGCGAAGCTTCAACACAGAAACCTTGTACGACTACTCGGATTTTGCTTGGAGGGAGACGAAAGGCTACTGGCCTACGAGTTTGTGCCAAATAAAAGCCTTGATTACTTCTTATTTGGTATGTTGCAATTTGACCTTCTTATATACATTTGCTTGAAATCAAATGTTCGAGCTTTCACTAGCTATGGAAAACTTGAAATTAAGAGGTTTTCTGTTCTTTCAACTGATTATAGTTTTTTGTTAAGCCACCTTTGATTGATGAGAGTAAATATATTTGCCTTGAGCTTTTGAATAGGTGCCACATGCTAGCACATAATGAGTTTTGGTGCAACGATGCAGATCCCCAAAAAAGCGGTCAATTGAATTGGCCATTACGTTTTAAAATAGTATCTGGAATCGCTCGAGGATTGCTCTACCTACACGAAGATTCTCGTCTCCGGATCATCCATCGAGACCTAAAATGTGGCAATATCTTGTTAGACAGTGAAATGAACCCGAAGATTTCAGATTTTGGCATGGCAAGGATTTTTGGAGTCGATCAAACTCAAGCTAGCACAAATAAAATCGTGGGGACTTTGTAAGTCTTAGGTCTTGAATAGATGACTTTGTAATTGGATGCCATACTTGCTCATTTTATCTATTTAAGGATGCTCATTGATCTGCATCTAAATATGCAATATACATGTGGCTAATGTTCGGTTTTGCAGTGGTTACATGTCTCCTGAATATGCAATGCATGGAGAGTTCTCAGTGAAATCTGATGTTTATAGTTTCGGCGTACTACTTATAGAGATCATTTGCGGCAAGAAGAATAACTTCTACCACCAATTGGATGGGGGTGAATATCTTGCTAGTTATGTAAGTTTTGCTGTGCTATTGCGGCAAATATTCACACCGCACTCTTTGTAAATTTGGTCAAATGAAATTGAAATTCCTTTGTAAAAACTTAATCCTTTGGCCTATCCTTAGTCATATATGGTTTTTTTGCAAGATTCAGATGTCTTGCATGATGAGTCACTGAATTAATGCCGTAATTTTGTGAAGATTTTTCAGAATTATTCTTGCAGGTGTGGAATCAATGGAGAGATGGCACACCCTTGAACGTGTTGGACCCGGCTATCGTGGATTCATATTCAAGAGATGAAGTACTTCGATGCCTGCACATTGGCTTACTGTGCATTCAGGAAGATCCGGCTACTAGACCCACCATGACAACCATAGTTCTCATGCTCAGCAGCAATTACTTTAACCTGCCAACGCCTCGACATCCAGCCTTCTTTGTCCGAAGTAGATCGCGGGGACTGAGCATCCCATTGAAAGGGCTTGAATCGGATCAATCCACCAGTAGGACTATGCCTTCGTCAACCAGTGATATGACGGCTACTGAATTGTACCCCCGATGAATGGCGGTGAAAGCAAAATCTTACTTCATGGATGGTCTCATGGTGAGATTGATTGGCCTTCCACCATGATTTTTTATGAACCATTGCAAAAATCTATCTATTTGGAGGATAAGCAGTTAATTGCTCAAAGGGAGTTGTGTGCATTGAAAATAAGACTAGACTCATGTTATCCATCTTAGTTATTATGATTCTTCTAAGATTTTTTTTTACTAGTTGAGGCTAAATCATACGTTGATCCACTGTAATATGGCTCATTTTAACATTATTGTGCTTCTATAAGGCTCGATGCGACTTCTCTTGTCTAGACTAAATAATCAAATGGAAGTGTTCGTTATCTAACCCACTAGGCTACACATTTCTTCACTTGTGAAACTAGTTGCATATCGGTGTTGTTAAAACTATACCTGTAGGCTATAGGTGCTCCATCTCTGAGAGGCTTTCTCTGGGGCGTTGATCTTATCTGGCCCATCTCCGTGAAATGCAAGTTGTCCACCGTTACTGTGAGGCCAATCAGTTAATAGGAAGCTCTCCCTTGTGATTAGTTGTCTAAACCACCTCAACCCTTTTGAGCAATCCTTCGTTCACATGCCCTTCTTTGTTGTTCGGAAATCGTCAGTTGAAGAAATGAAAGCGATCAATTCGACCAAAGAAAAAATAAGAAAGTCTTTGTATTCTTTGACAGTATTTATAGATGGAGACAAAGATTATCTATTTACTTTGTGAACGCACTTTCTCTTGCGAAATCAGGAATAGGCTTGTTGCAGTTGTATCTTCTTATTTTTTTGATTGATTGATGTAACTTTTTTAGTTAGTTGTTATGGTATTTAATTAGATTATCTTTATTAAATTTTTTATCATGGAGTTGACGGTACGAGCATATAATTGATATCCTTTGGGAACAAGCAATAAAACCGTCCCCAACGTTTTTGGCGACAGGTTTTGCAAAACCCTCACCAAGGACCGTCGATGATCTACAAGCCGTCTGTAATGAGAGTTTAGGACCAATTTCAACATTTTTGTACGGTTTTGCCCATATCCTGTAACGCTCGTTTAGGGAAATACAACTTTAGCTTTATTGACCCTTTCTGGGGTAACTCCAATCATTATTGTAAAGAAGAATTTATAAAGCGGACAGCATCCTATATTTAACCAAGTATGTACGAGAGAGAGAAGTTAGAGTAAACTAATACAAAATCTTTTGAAAATCCGCCAATCAATTATCATGAAGATTTTTCTTCTTGTGTTTTTTTTTTGGCAAGAAACATGCCACGAGGTAATCGAACCTAGAAACTTTTTTGGACTTTAATTGATTTGGTAAATACTAAATAAGCTAACTTGTCCTTCTAAACTACCCACAAGTCTCCCCAAGACTTCTATAGGACGATTTTCATTTTTCATGTTACACAAGCACAATCATTCTAGATTCTTTGACCGGCTTCCCCCGTGTCTAGGTACTCATTTCATTCCCGACACCATCTCTTCGGTTTTGATATTTTCTTTTGGGACAAGTGCATTGAAAGTCCTAAAACTTATTACAAAAGTACAATTCAGTCATAAAACTTTCAAAAAATGCAATTAAATCCTAAAACTTACACCAAAGTGTAATTGAGTCTTAAAATTTTCACAGAGTGCAATCAAGTCATAGAACTTGTTAAATTGGTCTAAGCAAGTCTTTTTTATTAGAAGAATTTGATTGCACTTTCGTGACAAGTTTTAATACTCGATTGGCCTTTCTTGACAAGTTTTAGGATTAGATTACATTTTTTGAAAGTTTTAGGACTCAATTACATTTTCGTAACAAGTTTTGGGACTTGAATACATTTTTTGAAAGTTTTATGACTCAATTGTACTTTTGTGACAAGTTTAAGAACTTTCAGTATACTTATCGCTTTTCTTTTCCAGTTACAAAACGATCCATTTTAATAATGGGAATCCATAGTCTGTGCAGGGAATCGAGTTTGTTCTATACATCTAATTCATATGCACAAGCTAAATTCTACACTGCAAAGCCAACGCCATGGGGTTTTGTTTTAGGAAAATACTAGATTTATTAAGACAATTTTATACAATTAATTTGTTAAATGGCATATCAGGCTATTGGTATTTTTTTATATAACCAATTATTAAGCAGATCGCTCACAATCTGACATATTTCTCAGTAAATTAATTTTAATAAATCTAGTACTGTGGTTTAAGGTTTTAACTTGTCCACGCATACTGCTTTTCATTGTTTATTCATTAAAAACGACCAAATATATTGTCATAATGTGTAGCACACAACTTCTCAATCACAAAAGTTATAACATTTTGGACGTATGTCGAGTCATGTGACAGAACCCTCTGAACATATGTTCCTTCCTTCTATGTGTAATGATGGGTAACTTCATTATGTTCATTTATTAACTATGTTGCATAATCTTGTTTTTCGTGATGATGGATGTTTTTTTTATTCAACTCTTAATATTATTATTTGTCAGATAGGAGTCAAAAGTTAGATATTATGTCATAATTGGCATCCCTACATTGTTAATCTCATTGAAAGTCACATTACATTACACAGCAGGATCCATTTGTAAAAGGGTAATTATTTTTAAATACTTATTACCAAGAACCTTCGTTGGGAAATTTTGTGGTTCTTTTTTATTTTGGGCCAGCATTTGAAAAGCTTGGTATCGATTTTTCTATTTCCTTGTTGTAAATGAAAATCGAAAGCTAGCACAAGCAATGACATTTTTGTTCATCCTTATCGACCAATATCTCCTCACGAAACTTGTGCAACTTCTCGATCCCATCCTTTTGGCAGATTTTCACGAATCAATTGAGTGGAAATGAAGAACAAAACTCGTTTCCTATTTTCGTTCGACACGATGATCTTCTTAACTAGAAAAAACTATTTTTGATAATGTTCATGAAATCGTGGAAGCCCCTCCCCCATTCGTGTCTATTATGTAGTCAATCAATAGTGCCTATATTTCCTGTTTGGGCTTAGACATCGAATTACAACAACTCCTGTTGTGATAAAAAGAAGATTATCATCAATTACATGGCTAAAGTTAAAAGTCAAATACTCGAATCAGCATCACCCAGTCTAACTCAGCTTCAACATACACATTTTACTTAAAATTATTCCAATAGAAAATTAGCCGAAGGACGAAAGGAGTCTATCGATTGTGAGTGAACTGACTGACGGAGGTCATGGTTGGATTTTGGTGACGCTCTGGAGAAAAACTTGAAGTAGAGATTGAAAAGGATGAGGACAATAAAGGAAGAAGATCATTAAAAGATCTTCAAAAGGTAAAACTTTTTACAACACAGGGCATGGTCCATGTCGATATTTATATCATTACTACGTTTTATTGTAAACAAGCAAATGCAAAATTTCTTGTTTTAAAAATCATAAGATATAGATATTTCGATATTTGCCAAGAGTAAAATGTCTTACAATGCGAATGTCTTATTTTTATAAAGGTTATGATGTACTATTATAACATAATGTAGAGTAACAAAACAAAAATTCATACTGCAAATTACTCATTCTCGGCCTCCATTGTTCCACAATCTCTCTCTTGATCAACTATGAACTAGGCATTCATCAAGTATTTGATGAAATGCTAAAGAGAGATCTTCCTTGCCTTCAGTTTAGAATTTTGCTTAATAGAAGAGATCATCCTCCATTTTTGTAGTTCGAGCATCGAGTTCCACCTGTTGTGCATGAGGAATGCCGGAATGGCACCATGTTGCAGAAGCTCTTTTTGCAGGCCCACCCACAATGCACCCCTTCTCTATTGTTGCCTCCCTTAGCTCCTCCAAGATGGTGCCGCCACTTTCTTCGACGATGGAGTTCGTCCACATGACCCACAGGAAGTTCCTCTCGCTGATCACGAGGTCATACCAGAATTCTATGAGGTCGTGTTTGTTGAAAGTCATCAAGCTATCGAGGTCAATTTCCTAGAGAGATTGCTTGTTAATGATAGTGGTCGAGAGGGTTTGAGTCGTCACGTACACAAGGAGCTTGTCAGAGATGAGATTTTCATATAAGATGGATTTTAAAAGACTTTCAATACTATCTTAGATAGCAGATTTTTAAATATTTTAAGTCCTATCTTAAATTGCACAAAATATATAATGGGATAATTTTACAATCCAGAGAATATTATGAGGATTTCAAATCCATCTTTATTATATCCTATTCCTATTCCTATTCCAATTCCAATCCCAATCCGAACGCTCAAATATAGTCTTAAGATTTAATGACTGAGATGAAGTATCCTTGCGTGCACTCCATAAGAGTGTTCATACTTTTCCTCTCGCAGTCTCCACGTTGGAGCAAATGGGAATGCAAGCTCGCATAAATTGACTTTAATCAATGACCTCGTATGAGGCCAATTGCTGTCTTCCATCTTCACCACCATCCATCTTATTCCTCTGTCCACATGAATATGAATGGCTTGAACCACCCCAGTTCCTGTCGCTTTAACATTGTGGGATGGATTTTAAACTGTATTTGTCTTTAGAGAAAATCTCTCACCGGTTTGTCCTAACCTTTCAAAAATCTCGTTTGACCTTCCTGTAGAAAGAAAAAATAATGCTATAGTTATTCACGATTTAAGATATTAATTCCTATACGGTTTAAAACGTTTAAATATGTCATATGGAACAAAATTTCAAAATTTTAAAATGTTCAAAACTCGATCCTCGAATTTCAATTTCCAATGGTCCGCCTTGCATCAACTTTTCAAGAAAAAGAAAATTGATATTTCACCCCCAATCTTGTGCCACAAGCCCAATCATCAATTCATCAAACTAGCCTAATCATGAATTCTTGCTTCACCATCTCCCTCTCTCTCTCTCCTCCTTTTTCTTCTTCATCAAGATTTTCGGTACTGAAGCTGCACCGAATTACATAGATCATGATTGCCCAAACACCACCCTCTTCACTCCCAACTCCACCTACCAATCCAACCTCCACACCCTCCTCTCTTCCCTCTCCTCCGCCCCCACCAACAGCACCGACGGCTTTGCCAACGCCACCGCCGGCCAAAACCCTCCCGATTGGGCCTACAGTCTCTTCCTCTGTCGCGGCGACCTTGACATCGCCGTGTGCAGCAACTGCATGGCCACCGGAAAGCAGGATATCCTCCCAAGATGCCCCAACCAGCGGGTCTCCATTATCTGGTACGAAGAGTGCATGTTGCGGTACTCGGACCGGTCCATCTTCTCGGCCATGTAGGAAACGCCGACTCGC